TCTAAAACAATCTTTTTTTAGATCTCGTTATCGTTATCATCTTCCTCTTTGCCTATTATGTTAATCAAAATAACATAATATTTTTCATCATAAATGTACAATGTATAGTCTAAATTACGACCGCTGGCGCAAACAGCTAACAACACCGTTGATGACGTCGGCAACGGTGCAACACCATATGACCTTCATTCCAAAAATCGAAGCCGATAAACAATCCTGTAGCATGTGTAATATCCTTGGAATTGATACATCAATTGTCTCGTTATCCTTTTTTGACTGGAATTTACAAACTACGTGTGATTTAGATACGAAACCAGTCAATCTCTCTAGAATTCTCGTAAGTTCTTGTTTATTCAAAGCCAGGGCCGCAACTAGAATCCTTGGCGCACAAGGCTAATCTTAATTTTGGCGCCTATTCACCACCTGTCTTAAACAAAATATCCATTTGATGCTTTAGTTTTGACCCCCACCTACCCAGTGAATGAAAATAAGCCACTATTTTATTACCTATCCCTAGTCCTAGTTTTTAACGTAGAAAATCTTTAACGAAAGCCGGTAATAGAATACAATTTTACCCACCGTGATTTGACTCAACAAAAATAAGCCACTGTATAAAAATACAGAGTGGTCAATATTTTATTATTCACGGCTCTTGTAGGAAAACTTTCACAAAAGCTGGTAATCGAAAACCATTCCACCACTGTGTGAAGATACGAGGTGATCAATATTTTAGTATCTCTGGCTCTTAATGTAGAAAATTTTTCACGAGATCCGGTAATAGAAATCAATTTTACCCACTGTAATTTGACTCGACAAAAATAAGCCACTGCATAATGATACAGAGTGATCAATATTTTATTATTCCTGGCTCTTGTAGGAAAACTTTCACAAAAACAATTTCACCACTGTGTAAAGATACAGGGTGGTCAGTATTTTATTATCCTTAGCTCTCAATGTAGACAATCTTTTACGAGAGCCGGTAATAGAAAACAATTTTACCCACTGTAATTTGACTCAACAAAATTGTGCCAGTGTATAAAAATAAAGAGTGATCAATATTTTATTATTCCCAGTTCTTGTAGGAGGAAATCTGCCACGAAAGCCGGTAATAAAAAACAATTTTACCCACTGTAATTTGACTCAACAAAATTGAGCCACTGTATAAAGATACAGAGTGATTAATATTTTATTATTCCAAGCTCTTATAGGACTTATAGGAGGGAATCTTCCACGAAAGTTGGTAATCAAAAATAATTCCACCACTGTGTAAATATACGGGGTGATCAATATTTTATTATTTCTGGCTTTCAATGTAGATAATCTTTCACGAGAGCCGGTAATAGAAAACAATTTTACCCACTGTATAAAAATACAGAGTGATCAATATTTTATTATTCCCAGCTCTTATAGGAGGAAATCTTCCACGAAAGCTGGTAATCAAAAATAATTCCACCACTGTGTAAATATACGGGGTCATCAATATTTTATTATTTCTGGCTCTCAATGTAGATAATCTTTCACGAGAGCCGGTAATAGAAAACAATTTTACCCACTGTAATTTGACTCAACAAAATTGAGCCACTGTATAAAAATACAGAGTGATCAATATTTTATTATTCCCAGCTCTTGTAGGAGGAAATCTGCCACGAAAGCCGGTAATAGAAAACAATTTTAACCACTGTAATTTGACTCAACAAAAATAATTCTGCAGTTTACCAGGAAGTGAGAGCTCAGACAGACTTACATTAGGCCGGCATACATACACGTTATTTCGCACGGCTTATCGTGGCGTGTTGGGATGTGGCGGTTAACATGCGCGAAAGAACGGTGTGTCAAAAAAAGCATCATGTTCCATACACTTGACAAAGTATTCAAAATGATTTAGCATGTGATTACGCGGGGCATATCAGTTTCTAAGGAAAAATCGTATGTGTATGGGCAAAAAGTGTCATTTATCGTGTCATTTGAAAGTGCATGTGGTCATGTACTAATTTTCAACGTGATAGTTTACTACGCGGCATTCATGTTTTCGTACTAGCCTCAAAACCGTGACGCGGAATGGCGTGTGGATACGGGTGTGAACTGCACTATCATGTACTTAAGTACTGACGCCACATTCCAGATGAAAGCACGTACGAAATCCCTTGCCATTCTATCATTGCGTGTAGCCTTCCTCACTCACTCAAATAATTTTTCACAGGTTTTTGCAGATGACACGATAAACCGTGCGAAATAACGTGTGTGTATGCCGGCCTGTCAGCTCTTTACTACACGGGACTTTCTTCATTTTTATAAAGTTTGTACGAGCTTTTTCAATTCTGGTTTTTATTTCTGCGGTATAATCATTGTTTTCTGTAATAATTGTTCCTTAGTAAGGATATCTTTTCACTTTTTCAATCTGTTGACCTCCAACCATTAAAATTTAATTTGTGTTGTCCTTACAAATTTTCATAAATTTGGTTTTCTTGATATTGAGGGAGAGTCCATAACATGCACTACACCTAAATGTTTTGTTCAAGACTCGTTCTAATTCTTCTGAACTGCCGGCTATTATTACTGTGTCGTCTGCATATCTGATGTTGTTAATAAGAACTCCATTTACTTTTATACCTACGGTCTCATTTTCCAATGCTTCTATTATAATTTGCTCAGAGTACGCATTGAATAATAAAGGCGACAATATGCATGACCCCTCTATTTCCATTTCAGCAGATTTTTCCTGTCCAATTTTTAGTGAGGCTCGTTGATTGTAATACAGATTTGAAATTAATCTTACATCTCGTCTATCCAGGTTTTTGCTTTCGAGAAGTTGGTCATGTTTCACTTTATGAAAAGCTTTATTGTAGTCTATGAAGCAGATATAGAGGTCCTGGTTAACATCTAAACATCTCTGAGTCAACACGTTGAAAGAAAATAATGCTTCTCTTGTACCCACCCCATTTCGAAAATCAAATTGAGTGTCACTGATGTCCAATTCTAGCTTGTGATAAATTCTGCTGAGTAGAATTTTTAGGAGAGTTTTTAACGTATGTGACATTAAGCTTATAGTTCTATGATCACTGCATTCTTTGGCATTGACTTTTTTCGGTAGACATATAAATGTTGATGTAAGCATTTCTTGTGGGATGATTCCTGTATTGTAGATTGTGTTAAACAGTTCCACCAAAAAATCTATGTTTTTTCGTTGATCGACTTGAGCAACTCGCTTGGTATCTGGACCTGTAGATTTCTTATTCTTCATAGATTTAAGTGCATGTTCAATCTCCGATTCAGTAATTTCAGGTCCTATGTCTCCACCTTGATGATAGTCTGCAGCCGTGTTTTCCTGTCTCTGGTCATGAAATAATTCCTCTATGTATTTTTTCCATCTTCTCAATTTTTTTTCAGTCTCCATTATGATATTTCCTTCTTTATTCAAAAATATGCTTGAGTTTTTTCTCTTTTTCCCGCTAGTTCCTTGACTTTTTTTGTGTGAGTTTAAGTTGTTATATCTATTTTGTACTTAACTTTTCTATCTCATAACATCTTTCAGAGAAATAAGTTTCTTTTGCTTCTCTTATTTTTCATCTTATTTTACTTTGCAATTGTTGTTTTTTGCCTTGTACTTCCTTCTTTCATTTATTAATTCTAATATTTCATCTGTCATCCAATCTTCTTTTTTATCTTTGTTTATCGTAAGTTCTTTTTTTCTGGGTCCTAAAAGTGATGTTTTAATGAGTTGCCATTGTTGTTCTGGGTTTTCTTTATTTTGTTGAGATTCAGAGACATTTCTTTCTAAATTTTCATTGATTTCTTGTTTGAGTTTATATCTCTTATTTCTTCTGATTTAAATTTATCTATGTTTAGTTGTCTCTAGATGAGATAAGTTGTACCCTTTTGAAGGAGATCATAAAAGTTTTCTATTTCCTCTTCATTTTTGTCAGCGGTGGTGCATAGGTCTGTATTGGATTTAGTTTGCCGTGAGTTGTCATTAGTTGTAGCAAGAGGACTCTTTCAGATATTGGTATGAAGCCTACCGTTGATTTCACTAGGCTTCTTTTAAGAATCATAGCTACTCCATAGCGGTGTTGGTTGTCATTGCTGCCAGCGTAGAAAACTCGTCCATTCTCTGTATTAAGTTCACCCGAGTCGACAAATCTTGTGTTGCTTATTCCAAGTATATTGATCTCTAATCGCAGCATCTCTTGCTCTATGTTTCTTAATTTACCAGATTCGTACATACTTCTTACGTTCCATGTTGCGATTTTAAAATTTCATTTGTGTATTTCAACAAACAGGAATTTCATAATTTTGTGTAAAGATTGATACTAAGAAATGATTCGCACTCAGTCAAGTTTCTTTTATAATAATCATAGCCAAGCTAAGAGATTAGAAGCCGAAGTCCTCTCAAGTATGACTAATGATAGAAACACTCCACTTGGAAATTCCAATGATGTTAACAAACACATGGAACAAGCCCGAACAGCTTGACCAATGAAAATGTGACATGAATCTTTGAATGGTTTTAACTATAGAGCATGTGAAATATCTTGTTCAGCACAAAGCTAACATAATCCATAAAAAAACCTGGGGCACTCTTTTGTTAGCAAGTTCCTTCCAAATTTCGCTTTACAGGAATATCAAAAAATAGTGTTGGACGAATAACTTCAAGACAAGGTGAATATGGAGTCGTAATACAATCAAGCAAATCAACACTGAATTGTTCGCATCAGGAAGTGGTTCCTTGCAAACATCGAAATACTAGAATGTATACATGCCTCTATATGAGCAAGTATTGGAGTTTGAACATATTAACTGATATCTTGTTTTATAAATCGCTCTAGCATTAAGAACTCGTCGATAAACTAGCGACAAAATCACATTAGTACGGTTAGTAAGCGGGGTTAGTATACCTGAATGACATGCTTCCAGTTAGAGACTTGATTACAATGGCCGCAACGGAAGGGCGCATAAGTAGTGGAGCCCGCGCCCTTCCTAGCGGGGCTGTTATTTACACTTGCCTCGTCTCTATCAGGACTCGTACCCCTTAAACTTAAATCCTGCGTCGAGAATAGTCCGGCCAAGCCAGCGCCGGTTACTAGGGCTAAGGGCGAGGGCGTGACCGTTACCTGGGCGGCTGCGACAGCTTGCTGGATCAGCTCGTGATGGTCCAGCGGCTGGTCCTGTTGGTAGTGACCTTTCACGTGCTGTAGGAGGATTTCTCTGGATGCGTTTCTGGAACAAAAGTTTGACATGATTATTGATGTCAGCTAGGATTTCCAGAAGATATTACTTTACAAACTACTTAAGGAATGTTCTTATTGTCAGTATATTGAAAGGTTCTTCAAATCCAATCAAAAACCAAAAAAAATCTGTACAGTGGATTAGCTTCATTAATAATAAGTAATAAGACTAATTTTAAGTAGGTTCATCATTGACATTCATACATTAAAATATAGGGCGATAGGTTCACGTTTATATAAAATGGTAGTTACAAAGCAAACTCCTGCTTTGTGAACTTTGTGTTTAGATTTTCTATAGGAGAGACAACGTTTCGCTACTATTCTCTACCATTCCTATGGCAAAAAATTCAATATGTAAAAGTTAGGACTAATTTTTATAGTATGATATGGTAAAATTGACACCATGAATGAGTTCATATTCGTCCTTGCTATTGCTGAAAGTAGGTCCCATTATTAGTTTATTGTAGTTTTCTTATAGAGCTGGATGTTTATGTAAGCTCATATTGTTCGTCGATTTTTATGAAGTACTAGCTAATGACCCGCTGCGTTGCCAGCGTGTAAATACATTTTGAAATAATACACTTATTTTCAAATTTTGTTGTTGATTTTCTATTTAATTTTTTTTTTTTTAATCCGATATCAGAGTCGCTTGCCAGTGAGTTCAGTGACGCATTTTAAGCACTCCAGAGCTGCTCTAGAGCGCCCCGGGCTGTTTATAGGCGTTCCAGTGTATCAGAGTTTTACGCAACCGAACTTTTTTTTCGGGATAAAAAATAGCCTATATCACTCTCCTCTATAGCCGATTCGATTAACCGGATTAGATCGATCTGGTTCAATTTAAGTGAACCACACTGTGTTCGATTCAAGCTGGATCAGTGCACCCTCATCAACAAAAAAATGATCTAGATCAGAAGAAGTTCACTTAAATTGAACCCAAATCGATCTAATCTGGGTCAATCGAATTCACCTTATATAGAGATACGTGGTATTAATTCAAGATCGGTCCAGCCGTTCTTGAATTCAAAAAATAATAAAGTTACGTCGGTTGAATGCAAGCCTAAATAAATGAAATATGTCAACGTTATTTCATGCTGTCAAAAAAAGTTGGGTTATGTTGTTATGTATTGTGAATGAGTTTGTTTACAATTAAATTAACAATTAATTCAAAATTAATTTCTTTTTCCGAGATGCGTAATTTATCCACAAACCTTCCTTGGGATGGCCATAATAACCTACCAAAGTTTCATCGTAATCGGATAAGTGGTTTTAGAGCGCATATCCGGATACCCCGTGAACTTTGATTTTTATATATATAGAATAAGAATATAGAATATAGAATATAGAATATGGCAAAAACAGGTGTGACGTCAGGTGACAATTTCTAATGTAGGGTGCCACCAGCTCACATTCATTTCAAGTATCAGATTAAAATCGACGGACTTTATCTGTTTTGATTTAACAATATTTTGTGTCACATCGTTCCTGCTGAGCGATAATTTCTCCCCTGTGGCTGGTTTCGTTTGGCTGGGCAAACAGAATACTAGAGCAATTAAGACATTGGACCTCCTTTGAAATGTCCGGCCCTCTATTTAGCTGGATTGACAGCTACTTGGGAAGTCGCCGCAAAGCGGTCCGAGTGAATAATTTGAAGTCTTCCGAGATTACAGCCCCTTCTGGGGTTTCACAAGGATCCTTTACTCTGCAATTTGTTTTATGATATTTCAGTTTGTCTCCTATTAAGCAAGTAAAGTGTCGCTTTTCGCTGACGACATAAAGATTTTTAGCGGTATAGATATTTTCGGGGATTGTTCATTTTACCTAATACTGTGTTATCTCTTATAGGTACCTTAATTTAAATTTTTTAAAGTAGATGAAGCTGATGTTAGATGTAATTTAGGTTAGGTTTCATAGTTACTTTTTATTGCATTTTGTATCATGCCTGGATTTATAACATGGAAAATTATTGTTGTCCGTTAATAAATAAATCTAAATTGTGTTTTACGTGTGTTTCTGATATTGGCATTGAGATTTTTGTTGTGAAATAACCTTGAAGAAAATACATTTCTGTAATTCTGTAATTTTCCAATAGCCGACGGTAGAACCGATGAAGTCTATGAAGTTGATGTTCACTACTATGCACTATAGTGAATCATCCTAACTGCACTATTTTTAAGTTCTCTGTCTAATTGGTTTTTTAAACGTCTTTATATTAGGGGCGGTCACTGTATGTTTTGATAAGGCATTCCACCACTAAACTACCCGATTGATTATAAATTTTTTTCTTTGGTATTTTGCAGCCTTTTGCTTGTCCAGTGTCTTTGAATTTTCCGGGATTATGATGGCAGATCTGCTCAATATCGCAATTATAGTACTAGCTTATTATCTTGTATGTTTCTATCAAATCCCCTCTATGTCTTCATTCTTTTAATGTTGTCAATTGCATTCTTATTGTCAACCTTTCAGTGTAAGTTAGACTCTGGAGCTCTGATGGCATTTTGGTTACCTACTCTTCTCTGTATTTTTTCAAGTATTTCAATGTCTTCAATATTATAGGGGTTCCACACTGTAAAAGCGTATTTTAGCTTTGGCCTGATATAGCTTTGATAGAGCTATCATCTCAATAAAATGATCTTTGAAAGCGTGTTTGATAAATAAACAAAGGAACTTGCTTTTTTTGTTATTTTTACAATGTGATCTTTCCATTTTGAGTCCGATGTAACCTAGGTCATTTTGCTCTGTTACAGTTGATAGAACTGTACTGTTCAACGAGTTTTCGTGGTTCGGATTGTTTGGGCCAATTCTAAGCACTGTACATTTTGTCTCATTCAGTTTCATTCCCCACATTCCTGACCAGTTTTCAAACCTTTTTAAGTCTTCCTGAAGTTGATTTGCATTCAGTAGTGGTGGTGAGTTTACATAAAGTTTGCCATCATCAGCAAAATTATTCAGTCTGGTTTCAATCAGATCAGTAAGATCAAATAGATAGGCAGTAAAGGGTAGTGGCCCCAACACCGAACTTGGACGCGTATTTACGTTCTATACCATTATACAGATGGATTCCATTCTATAACGTAGTTTAATTTGTATCTGTGAAACGCACGTATGTCTACTCCACATCATACCGCGATACAGATGGACGTCAATCTATAACATAGTAGGATATGAAGTTACAATACGCGCCCATTTCTACTCCGAATCATACCACGATACCAAATTGATAACTACTCAATCAATTAAAGTAATTTATCTGTATTTTCTATAGGTTATTTATAAGATAACAAGATAACAATGTTTCAGAAAACAAATTTAAACTTTATAAGTAGTAGGTATGAAAGGTAGTTTTGGTTACTCCGATTCAATCCAATATTCGCTTCCAGATTTCTCAAACACTGGCCTCGAATTTCAATGGCCTACCAGCCTGAATTCCTGCTGAATTTTGGCATCACATCTTTTGTTCCTTATTCGAGTGGGACAATTTTCAAATTCTGCTACTGTGATGACACTTAAACACTTTCTTGTGCTCAAACTTTTTCAGTGATGGGTAAGTATTTCGAAAAATCCAACTTGTTGTGATGCCAACGCCAAAATTACGAATCCATTCGTCACACCATTTATTATTTGTCTTATCTTTATGATGATCCTTGCTTCCTATAATAACACTGTAGTCATTGCAATTAACGTAATTATAGCTTTCAATTACATCCTCTTCGTGGATAATATCCTTTAAGGCATTCATATTTGGTTCTATCTGGAATTGCGATTTCAACGATGCTTATATCAACACAGAATTATTGCAATAGGTAACTATAAATGCAGCGAACTAAAATGCACATGGCTGGCTTAACAACTGCCGCCAATTTTTGTTCACGTTGTTAGGAAATGGAGTGGCGGCCACCGTTGTGCATTTCATTGTATACTGTTGCGAAAACCCTGTATCGCGGTAAGATTTGGAGTAGAAATAGGCGCGTATTGTTACTTCATATCCCACTCTAGTATATAGAGTGATGTACAGGGTGTCCGAATTTGGATGGTTTTAATAGGACACATCAATTTCTGAGCAAGATACAAAAAAATGAACCCCCCACTCCGAGGCTCAAATTTCATGAATTTTTGATTGGTGCAAACCGCATTTTGATATCTTCAATCGTTTAGCCGCTAGAGGGCGATTCTCAATTTTGAGCAATAATGTGAAACCATCATAACTTTTTTGTTTATGAAAATAATTGATTTCCGTAAAAACTTTCTAGAAGCACTTTTTCAAGCAGAATTCAGTGACGTTCTCAGTTTTTTTCTGGTTGGTCCCAACTCCGAGATATTGACCAAAGTTTGGTTTTTTTCAATAGGATACTCTATATATTAATAGCTCATTAGAAAGCTCGGCTTTTTTTGATTTCAATGATATAAAGTTCGATAGGTTTATCTGTAATAGTTTTCGAGAAAAAAAATTATTTCGGTTTTTGTCATAAGAAGTAATGTGTAAGAAAAGGACTTTATATCTGTAAGGAAACTGAGAAAGGTCTCTTTCTAACTCATTGTTTCTTATGACAAAAGCCGAAATATTTATTTTTTTTTCTCAAAAACTGTTAGAGATAAACCTATCGAAATTTGTATCATTGAAATCAGCAAAAGCAGAGCTTTCTAATGAGCTATTAATATATAGGGTGTCCCATTGGGAAAAATCGGATTTTGGTCAATATCTTGAAATCGGGGCCCAATAGAAAAAAACTGAAAACGCCACTGAATTCTGCTTGAAAAAGTGCTTCTAGGAAGTTTTTACGGAAATCAGTTATTTTTATAAACAAAAAAGTTATGAAGATTTCACAGTATTGCTCAAAATCGAGAATCGCCCTCTAGCGGCTAAACGGTTGAAGATATCAAAATGCGGTATGCACCAATCAAAATTTCAAGAAATTTGAGCCTCGGAGTGGGGGGTTCATTTTTTTTTATCTCGCTCAGAAATTGACGTTTCCTATTAAAACCATCCAAATTCGG